ATTAGCTTTAGTTTTAGCTAGAGGAGAACTTTGTATATCCATTTTTTTATAGTAAAGATTTTTTTGGTGGTCCATCATTTTTTTCCTCTACAATAGAGATTTTTTCACGTAAATCTTGGTGTATTTTATTTTTTCTGCATTATTGATTATTAATTATTGTCTATTACTATGAATTTATTATGATATATTGCTTTTGTATTATTGTATTTGTCAGTTTAGGCCCAACAAGTGGTATTAGAGTAAGGGTTTTTGAGACATCGATACAAAAGTAACTTAAGACAAAAGTAAATTCTATTTGAGATCATAGAGGGTGATACACATTTCATGATAAAATTGATAACATCAAATTATTCAATTTGGAAGTCCATGATGGAAGATCATTTATGCTGTAAAGATTTGTATGAGTCGGTATTAAGTGATTTAGCTAAGCCAGCAGATACAAAAAATAAAAATTAAAAGAAGCTAGGTAGAAAGTTGTTGGCTACAATAAAAAAATATGTTGATATCAATGTATTCCATCATGTAATGCAAGAGACAGATGCCCACACTATTTAAAAAAAATTAGTAGCATTGTATGAGAAGAAAATAAGCATGAATAAAGTTATGCTTTTTAAAAAGCTTGTAATTTTATAGCACAAGGATGGACAATCAATTATAGAGCACTTGAATGATTTTTAAGATATATTTAATCGGATGACAATTATAAAGCATAAAATGGATGGTGAAATGAAAGCACTATTTCTTTTGGGTATATTGCCAGAATGTTAGATTACTCTAGTTGTGACAACTCTTAATTCAACTCTTGATTACAATATGATATTGAAGATGGTAAAGGATAGTATACTTAATAAAGAAGCAAGATAAAAAAATTAGACCTTAAGAATCAAGCTTTTATCATAAAGAACAATGGTAAAAACATCGCTAAAGGTCATAACTCAAAAGGCCATAATAAGTTTAAATGTAGATCCAAGTTTAGAGATAAAGTGAAGTGTTTCCATTGTGGTAAACTAGGCCATATAAAGCGATATTGTAAAATCTTGAAACAAGAGAAAAAAGTTGATAAAAACAATAGTTCAGATGATGATGATGTTGCAGTAATGAATTTAGATAGTGATTCAGTTATTTAGATTTGTACACATAGTGATTTTAATCATGTTGATGATTTTAGCATTAAGTGGATAGTTGACACAGAAGCAGTATATCAATGTATTTTTGAGAGGAAGTAGTTTACAACTTATGAAGCATGAGACTTTGATTGCATCAAGATGAGAAATAAGAGTGTTACAAATTATTAGGATTGATGATACTATTGTACAAACTAATACGGGCTATATGTTGACTTTAAGGGATGTTAGATATATTTTATATATGAGATTGAACTTGCTTGCTGTGAATGTTCTTCATAAATAAAGAGATTAGAGTCAACAAAAGAATAGGCAATGAAATATTCTCAAAAGATCTATGATAATTGCAAGAGGAAAACTATGTTGCATAATGTACAAGACATTGATGTGATTAAATGACAATCCATAAATACCATTGAGGATGATGCCTCAGCAAATATGTGGCATAATCTCTCATTACCTTGACCAAAGGTATATCTCTTAATTCATGTAATTATTTAGTAAGTGTTCTTCGAGAAAAGAAAACATATTGAAATTAATTCATTCTAATGTATGTGATTTTATTGAGGTTCAGTTATTAGGTGGTAACAGGTATTTTGTTACTTTTATTGGTGATGCTTCATGTAAGGCTTAAGTGTATATGTTAAAAAATAAAAGTTAGTATTGCAATATTTTTAAAAATTTCATGCCATAGTGGAAAGGATGACAAGATTACCTTTGAAGTGTATTTAGACTGATAATGATGGAAATATACATCCAAAGACTTTGAAGAATATTATTCAAAGCATGGACTAGGTATGAGATAACAGAACTTAGAACACCATAGCATAATGGTGTAATTGAAAGGATGAACTGCATCATTATGAAAAAAGTTATATGTATGTTAAGGATGCCAAAATTACCAAAGCAATTTTACGGTGAAGCAATTAACATAGTTGTTATTTGCTTAACAGATCACCATCAGTTCCTTAGGGCTTTGACATTCCAAAAATAATGTGGATAGGGAAAGATACTTCATACTCTCACTTGAAAATTTTTAAAAGCAAAGCATTTATGCATGTGCAAAAAGAGCAAAGGTCAAAGCTTGATAGTAAAATCACACAGTGTGTGTTTGTAAGATATAGTGATTAAAAATTTGGCTATAGGATATAGGATCTAGTGAATAGAAAAACAGTCAGAAGTATAGATGCGATCTTTCATAAAAAAAACTATAGTAGACTTTGAGAAAAATAGAAAGACTACACAAGTTACTATTGAGTATGATTTTTTAACACCAATAAGGGTTTCACTAGAAAGAGCCACAGATGATGGAAATGAACAAGAGATAGAATTTTGGGATATGAATGAACCGACCACAATTAGAGATGAGCCAAATGTAATTAATTTTAAGCAGGGTGAGCGGTCTTTTTTACCAAAGAGTATTGAGTAAGGGGAGTAACCTTTGGAATCAGGTAGTGTAGAATCTCAACCTAGGAGATCTATTAGAGAGCACAGGTCTTTCACCAAGTATCCAAGTTTAGATTTTATTTTAGCTACTAGTAAAAGGAGCTGAAAGCTTTCAAGATCTATAGACTATTCTGGATAAAGAGTAATGATTAAAAGCAATGAAAGAAGAGATGGAGTTATTTGTGAAAAAATAGTACATATGATCTTGTTAAACTTCTAGAAGAGAGAAAGCCATTGAAGAATAAATGGGTGTTCAAGTTGAGAAAAGATGGTAACAAACTAGTGAGATACAAAGCTCGATTGGTAATGAAATATTTTTCTCAAAAACTCGACATTAATTTTGATGAAATCTTCTCTACAGTTGTGAAGATGAGTTCCATTTGAATGTTACTGGGATTAGTAGCTAGTTGAATCTTGAGCTTGAGTAACTTGATGTTAAAACTGCATTCTTGCATGGTGACTTACAGAAAGACATTTATATGGATCAACTTGAAGATTTTGAAGTGAAAGGGAAAAAGCACTTAGTTTGCAAATTGAAAAAATATCTTGTATGGCTTAAAACAAGCTCCGCTATAGTGGTACAAAAAGTTTGATTCTTTTATGGTAAGCCACAACTATAAAAGAATGACAGCTAATCTTTGTGTGTTTGTCAAAAAATTTCATGATGGTAACTTTATTATTTTTTTATTATATATTGATGATATATTGATTGTGGGATAAGATGCTGGTATGGTTCTTAGATTGAAAGAATAATTATCTAAGTCCTTTGACATAAAGGATTTAGATCCAACAAAGCAAATTCTCAGTATGAATATTATTCGAGATAAGAAAGCTAGAAAGCTAGAAAGCTATAGTTGTGGTAAAAAAAAAAATGTTGAATAGGTGCTTAGTAGATTCAACATGTTACATGCTAAATTAGTTAGTAATCCACTTGCCAACCATTTTTATTTGAGTAAGAGAGCTTGTTTGGTGACCAAGGAAGAGCAACTAGCTATGTCTAGTATTTTTTATTCTTCTGTAATCGATTTTTTTATGTATCTTATAGTTTACACACGGCCTAATATTGCTCATGCAATTGGTGTGGTGAGCATATTTCTTTCTAATCCGGGAAAGGTTCATTGGGAAGCAGTAAAATTGATTTTTAGATATTTTAGGTACACTTCAAAAATGTACTTAAGTTAATTAGTTTCACAACCAATTTTGGTACTGACATGGCAAGTGATCTTAATGGTAGGAAATCTACTTCAGGATATTTGTTCACTTTTGCATAATGAGTTGTGTCTTGACAGTCAACTACATAGGTTGAGTATATTACAACAACTGAAATAGGTAAAAAAATGCTTTGGATGAATATTTTCTTTTTGAATTGGAGTTGAATTAGAAAGAGTATATGGTGTTTTGTGATAGCCAGAATATTTTAGATTTGATTAAAAATGCCATGTACCATGCTAGAACAAAACACATTGATGTTAAATATTACTGGTTGCATTCGATGATTGAGGAACAGCAGATGCTATTGAAAAAAGTTCATACTGATAAGAATGTAGTAGATATGTTGACTAAGACACTTCTTAAAGAAAAGCTGAAGTTTTGCAATAACTTGGTCGAAATAGGTTCTTTGGCCAAGGTAAGTTTTAAATGAAGTTGTTATGATGATAAATCTCCTTGTAATGGGGCTGGAAGGAGAGATTGTTAAGAATGTGCGAGGTCTAGCCCCAATTGATTAGCCAATTAAAAGGCCTAAAGCCTTTTTGCCTTTGATCATGAAATAAAGCTTTACATATAAAAGTGGTATGGTTTTTGGCATGAAAGGAAAGTGAAAGACTAGGGCTGAAACTGAGAGGAAAAGATAAAGAGAAAAAAGAGAAGAGAGAGTTAGTTGAACAAAAGTCGATCCGTAATCTGATTGAGCTGAAATTTTGTCAACAGGTTTATGATTTAGTGTCCTACATTCTGAATATTAGAGATCAGGTTTGAAGCTCTCTAGGAACAAATCTAGGGTATATTTGTCGAGTCACTTATTTGCTGAGATTTCTCCAATTGTCTTTAGTTGTTAATCAGCTCTAGTTTTAGCTAAAGGAGAACTTTGTACAACCATTATTTGATAGTTGAGATTTTTCTAGTGGTCTATGATTTTTTTTTCTTCTACACTGGAAGGCTTTTCATATAAATCTTGGTATGTTTTATTTTTCTTACGTTGTTGATTATTAATTGTTATTCATTACTGTGGGTTTATTACGATATATTGCTTCTACGTTGTTGTGTTTGTCATTTCAGGCCCAACACTATTTTCTTCAAAAATGAAAGAAGAAAGAGGAGAGATTGAGTGAAATCATAATATCATTTTTTATTGAAAATTTGCTAAAATAATAGGGTGAAGTAAATGAGCTAAACTCTCAATGCCAAAAAATACAATAGAATTTTTCTACACTAAGCAGAATTGATTTGAGCAAAATCAAGAGATTTTTTGCCATCATGTGCATTTCCAAAAAAGCTGTTCATATAATCTGAGAATAAAAATTCTCTATAACGAGCCACTCCATCTTTCTCTACCACTTGAGGCAATGGTGCAATCTTGTCTGTTGGTTTTGGGCTAGTAAATATCGGTATAGATACTCTTGATTTTGTGCTTGTGGTACGAACTCTATGCTCTGCACTTTTGTACCTTCCATTGCTTAATATCTGCATAAAAAATGAAAGTTTAAACTTTGTAAATAATTAGGCAGGTATGTACTAGAGCATGTTCGTTCTATTTCACTCATGAAATTAAAAAATAATTATATTTTCATGGTTAATTTTTCATTCAAATGAAAAGAAGTCTCAAAATTTGAGGGTTTAGCCTAGTGATTAATCCACTTTCATTAGGAAATGAATTATAGCAAGATAAAGGATTCGATTTTGGTCACGTTACGTTTTTTACCAAAATAAATTGTCTAAATATAAATTCTGATACGAACTTGTAACATATCGCCAATGTTGATGACCAAGGCACCAGGAATAGGAGGAATCTCTACCCACTCTCCCTTCTTTTCCATATCCACATCTTCCGGAACTTTCACGTACAAACCACCAATTCCATCTTGTAATAAGATTGTAAGGGTACCCATATCAGAGTGTCGCCCTACACCAACTGTGAGTTCAGGGTTAGGACATGTCGGATAAAAATTCATGTTAACCATCTTTTTGCCAATCAATATATCAATTTGTGAGTCATGTAGTTCCACTCCAAGGTTTTCCATCAAGGCTTCCACCAATTTCCTCACCATTTCAAGCGATGAGTTTAAATACTGAAGAGCAACATTCCTGAAAAGAGAATATTAATATATTTATGAGTCTATTATAATTAGGTTTGGAAATGCCAAGCTAAAAGAAGAAAATTGAGCACAAAGCATGTTTCATTACCTGCATTCTACAGGCCAATGTTGAAGAGCTTCAGCATCATTAGTGTAGGCCATGCTAATGTAGTCTTTCCACTCCAATGCTTTTTCTTTCTCTGGCACAAAGCTCGTCCCATACTTCACTAACGGGGTTGGACTCACTTCTTTGCGATAGACAGCCTTCCTCTCGGGAGGCAGCCCGAAAAAGTTATGTGCGGCCTCTTTAAGAGACTCGAGTAGTTCTACAGGAACTCCATGGTTCACAACCTGGAAGAAGCCAAGCGTCTCAGCTGCTCTAACAATTTCCTTGACCACTTCATCATGATCAGGGCCATAAAGCCTCGACAAATCAATGGGAGGCAGCTCATGTTTGCTTGCATTTTTCTTACCAATCTGCTCCGCCAGTGGTTGAATGTAAGCCTGGGGGACCTTTGATATTCCAGCGTCCACAATTCCTTTGACGCCATTTCCATCTCTGACGACAAAGTTGAAAAGTGAACTGCCATTATCAAAACTTGGAGCCATTTGGGTGTAATGTAAGTAAGCAGTTATGTTATTCTTTTGTGTGTCGAGAGGGTTTGATTGATATGAAATTGTGTGGCATCAACCAAAGGGAAGAGCGGTATATATAATGCATAGATGGTTGAGATTTCTTCATGAATTTCACCTGACGTTTTCAGCAAGAGAAAATGCTGAGCATTTTACGTACGTATGACAATTTTTACCCAAACATTGAAAAATATTTAAGAATCTATAAAACCATGGAATTAGATTTTCAGCTGAAATGAGCATTGGGTAATCACCAATTCTGACCAAAAACGTTGTCGAAAAACGAAACTATATGAAATGAACGAATTTTTTTAGTTCGAATATCTAAAAATTCAAGTCTTCATTACGGAACTCATGTCCTTTTGCGGTAACATAAACGTCCAAAGTTCACAATTCAAAAAGACTTTTCATTTTTTCACATTTTTAATGATGGGAACCAAGACTTTTCCAATGATTGAGTAATTCAAATATTTATATAATATTTTACAATTACAAACCATATGGAGCACGTTTAATATGTTGATTAATTTTTTTTAAATAACTGATTTCTTGGTTATAGTATTAAAAAAATGAAAGTGGGCAGAAAATCTTATGATTATTTTAGAATAGAAAAATAAGATTATCCTTTTAATTGATTCTTGGGTCACACCTTTATTGGAAGAGGCTAAGAGTCTCTGCTGCCCTAACAAATTTTTTCCTTGACCTCGTATAATCGGCCATGGTCCGTATTGCAGCAATCAATTGGTTGATTTGCTCATGCCTAGCTTATTTCCTGTTCTGGCAGGCCAAATGGAAACTTCTTGGCATATTTATTTTCCTTAATTTCTGGTAGTTAATTTCCCTTGAGTATGTTTGTGGTGCCCACCTGTGCTTTCTCAAGAGGATAGTAATAGTATTGTATTTGAATTCGGAGTTTAATTTAATTTTTTTCATATAATCATTATTAAAAAGTGATATCTAATAAGTGTGAGATTCATTTGGCTTTTTTTTTTTGTCTTCAAGCTGTGACTTCCTCTATAGAAAGATATATATATATATATATATATATATCACAATGAATAAATATATTGTGATGTAATGCTATTTATTTGTACAAAAAGAAAATGATACACTTGAAATAGTGTATGATATAACTTTGTAACCAAATTAATTTGCAGTGTGTGACTAATGAAATTAGCTAGGCATGTAACACAAATGCGAATTTGTTAGCATTTTCATCAACGCGTAATTTTCACTCGGCTAACAGATTGGGTAATATTTCTTGGATGTGGCCCATGGAATTGGAAGGAGATCTTCTTAATTTTGTTGAAGTTTAAAATAACACTAATATCAAATAGAAATGAAAAAAAAAATTGCCTAATGTGTATACGTCGTGTACAATTAAAACTTACAAATATTCATGAATCTTAAATATAATAATTTGTTGTCTCAAAAAAAAATACAACGAGGAAAATTAATAATGAATAAAATTAAGAGCAGAAAGTCAATAGGATCTTTAGATCAAGTAGAATTAATTTATGCAATGTCGTAATAGTTTTGTATCCACCCGAAGAATTTGAAAATGAAAAAAAAAAAGTGTCGCCACCAATCTTTTTTGGCTAAATACAATTGGTCACCTATCAAAACATATATTTTTAATGAAATCTTAAAATTAATTAAAATTTATTAAAAAAATAATTTTAAGGTCTGTGAAACAATCTAGGTTCGGAAGTCGGTTATGTGTGGGGAAGGATTAGTAATTCCACAAAGCCCGTTTAAAACGGTACTAATTAATTACATATTATCCATTGATTTTGATAAAAATAATCTTATTTTCAGTATTTGAAAAATAATTTTCTTGATTTTTCGTTGATTAGTTTTTTTTAATATCTTTTTTATTTATTGTTTCATTTTTATTTAAGAAAAATAAATCAAAACCTTTTTATTGAAATAATGCTTAAAATATTCCCATACATTGATAACATTAGAAGAGTTTTTTTTTTCACCTAGAGATTTCTTAGGCATCACTTCTCAAAATACCTTAGAATCTCATCTTCATAGACTCAAATTTATTTTTCGTAAAAAAATTATATCGTGCATGCAATGCAAATGCTAACATATTGATGCACACATTTTATTTTACTCTTTAGAAATTTGATTGATTTTTATTTTTTTTTAAAAAAATTTTTTGAAGAAAACAGGAATTTTTGTTATATTGAAGATTTTCTATAAATATTTCAATACATTAGTAATATTTAAAAAAATCTTTTCACCTAAGATTTCTTAAAGCATCTCTACTCGAAATACTTTTAAAATCTCGTCATCAGATAAAATTACCTTTTTCTTATTTTTTGTCACTTTATTCTTAATTTATTAGTTAATTTTTATTTACTATTTTATAATAAAAAAACAAAATTTTTATTGTATTGAAAACTTTTTATAAATACTCTAATATACGGGTAGTATTTTTAAAAAAATCTTTTCACCTAAAGATTTCATAGTATCACTACTCGAAGTACTTTTGAATCTCATCATTGAATAAAATTTCATTTTTTCTTACATTTTTTTAAATTATTATTTTATAAAGTTTATTTTAAAAATTGACAAAATTATCAAAAATTTTAATTATGTATTTCATTATTTATTTTTATTATTTATTTTATTAATTATTATTAAAATACAAAAACCTATTTTAGCATATTTAAGCATTTTAACATGCATAAATACTAATAATAAAATTTAAAATAATAAAAATAATATTAAAAAATTAAAAAAAATTTACTTAAACCAGACCGATCAACAATACGATCAACGTCAGTTTGGGTTGGTCTTATGGGTTCGACGGTTTGGTGCCAGTCCGGTCCAGTCTGGGTTGGTTCAGCTGGACCAGTTGAGAGTAAAAAAGAGAATGAGTCACTGCGTCAGGTGTATGGATCTCGGGTCGACGCATGGATCCTTTGAGTTAAAACGATATCGTTTTGCTTCTTACCTAAATGGCATCATTTTAAAGGCCTATTTTAAGGCTAAATCAGCTGTTTTTTTTTTAGTTTTCTTCTTCTTTTTTGTCTTACTTCCTCTCAGACACACACTCTTTCTCTCTAGAAACCCAAAATCTAGCAACTATTGCATTGTGCCAGCCACCGTCGGTAGTTGTCGATCGTTATCTGTCGGTAGTCGAAAAAACTTAAAATCTCCAAAAATTTTTCCTTCAACCTCTTAAATATGAATTCGAGCTTAGTTTTGCAAAAAAAAAAAAAAAAAAGGCTTTAAACTGTGTAGATTTAGCCTAAAAGATTAGGTCACAAGGATTTCTTATTTTATTTTTTTTGCACTAAGATCTCATTCCAGGGATTATGTATATTTTTTATGTCTGATTCCTCTTTTTTTTTTACGAAAAGCCTTTTTTTTTAAGAATCTGGCAGTGCTTTTTTTGGATTTTTTTCAGCCCTCTCTTCTCTTTCTTTTATTGTCGATTTCATTGCTTTTATTTTGGTGGCCTAGGATTAGGGCAACCACCTGCTGTCAGAACGATTGTCGATGATTGTCAAAGCTACCGACAGTGTAATTACAGGTGACTGTCAGAGCTGCTGGTAGTGCAATTGTCGATAGTCAACAGAAAAATTGCTACGAAAAGAAAGAAAAAAAAATAATAAATAATAAATAAAACGATGTCTACAGCTGCCCCTCTTTGCCTATTTCTGAGAATCAGGAATAAGGCAAAGACAAACAAACAACCATTTTATTTGGAAAGAAGAAACATTTAGCATAAAATCCCTTTTTTAAAAAAATTTAAAAAGTTCCTCTAATTAAAGGTTTAATTGAAAATTTAAAAAGGCTCATTTCAGCAAAAACTCGACGACTTTTCAAATTTTAAAAGGGCTCCTCTAAGCAAATGCTCAACAACTTTAAAAGTTCATCTTGAAAAAGGTTCCTCTAAGTAAAAACTCGATAACTTTTAAAAATTCATCTTAGAAATGCTCCTCTAAGTAAAGGCTTGATAATTTTAAAAATCCATTTTGGAAAAAGCTTCTCTAAGTAGAGGCTCAACAAATTGAAAATTCATCTTGGAAAAGCTTCTCTAAGCAGAGGCTCAACAACTTTAAAAATTTATCTGGGAAAAAGCTTATCTAAGCAAAGGCTCAACAACTTTAAAAATTCATCTTGGAAAAGGTTCCTCTAGGCAAAGGCTCTATAACTTTTAAAATTCATCTGTGAAAAAGCTCCTCTAGGCAAAGGCTCTACAATTTTAAAATTCATCTTTTCTCAAAACTAATTTTTCATCTTTAAGCAAGCAAACTCCTTTCTTTTGAAATTGTAGACACCCAATTGGGTCCGGGCCCAGATCAATTGGGCCTGACCCAAATGGGTAAGGCCCATTTCAATCCTGTATATTTTTTTCTTCTTTTGTATTTTATGTATTCTATTATTATTATTATTATTATGTATATCTTTATTTATTTATTTATTTTTATTCAGATTAGATTTATATGTATTTTATTTATACAGTTATATATTATTATTATTTTTTTTGTGTAATATATTTTTGGGTTTATCTTATTTTATTTGTTATTATTTTTTTTTAATCATCTGTTAATTCTATCTTCTTTTTCCCGAATTATCTGATATTATTTTTAATTTTTAATTTTTGATTTTCTTTTCTAATTATCTAGTTTTTTTTTATTTTGATTTTGGAGGGCTGAGATTGAAGGCTGAAGAATCCCATTGGAAGTGGGAATTCAATCAGAAGAGTCCAGTGGGATTCAAAGATTGAATTCCCGTCCAAGGAGGAATTGGGATTGATCAGAAACTCCTGATCAATCCCTATATAAAGCACCTCCTGGAACAGTTCAGAAACACACAGAAAACGGTAAGCAAAGCTACTGATTTAAGAGAAAAGGAGGCGTATAGGAAGCTAGGAAAAGTTTAGGAGTGTTCTGGGAGTGAGAAAAAAATTTTTAGAAATTTTTGGCCAAAATTTTTTCTGGAAATTTCTGGGAAATTTCCAGATTCCGGCGAAAATTCCGGCGAAGTTTGAATTTTCCGGTGAAAATTCCGGCCAACATTGAAGTTTTCGGCGACCTGCCCAGTTTCCGGCGAAGAATCCCAGAAACCGGCTACTTTCCGGCCAACTTCCGGTGAAATTTCCAGATTCCAGCGAAAATTTCCAGAAT